ACGACAACTAACAACATACAAACAAATTATTTTATTTTATACATTTACCTTATACTTACAATTATCAAATTACTACTCAACAATAATGTTATATCAAAAAAAGTATTTATTCGAATAATGTATTTTTAATTGTTGATTAGCGCAAAAAACGAATTATACATTACAAAAATCAGTGCCATCTGAATTCATTCAAAGACTAAATCTTAAAAATAGAGCTAGGCTTGAGAACTAGCTGTTCCGTTCCACAATAACTTGTAAATACGAAAGAGTACATAACCAAAGAGGAATCCACCAATAGGACCAACTGTATAAATCCATGCTGTTGAATGATATGTGCTCGAAGCTACAGCTGGACCGAACCATCGCCATGGGTTCAAGGCGGCACCATCACGATCAGCACCGAGCAAAAACGATGAAAAGACAACAAGTCCTATTGGAAAGGCTGCTTCTTTATGTGTATTATACGACGTCGTAAAGAAGATAACAAACGAAAGAACCACTGTACAGATAAATTCTATGGCAAATCCTCGCATAACTGTTACACCTGGTTCAAGAGCTGGCGTACCTAATGAAGTACCAGTACCATAAAGACAAAGAAGTAATGCACCAGCAAGTAAAGCACCTGTTGCTTGAGCTACAAGATAACCAATAATTTCTATAATCTTCATTTTGCCATCAACAGCAAAAGCTATTGTAGCTCCTGCATTAAAATGACCACCAGATACAGGTCCAAATACATAGACAAGCCACACAGTAACAAGTGCATGTGCAGCAGATACAGTCAAAAGGTCATGTGGTTTTGCTGCACATCCAGCCCCAAAAAATATGAAAAGACAAGTGCCAATTAATTCACATAATAAACGTGTATGCAATGGTGGTGGTTGTTTAAAACCATTAAAAGTACCAGTAACGGTGACTTTCGGAAAAGTATTCGAAGAAATTGTTTCATTTGGATTTATGGCAATTGAACTGAAAGACATCTGAATCAATAAACTAGAGAGAAAAATAAATTTGACGCCTTGTTAAAAAACTAGTAAATATTACTATCAATGTATTTTATTGAAGTTAACGTAATAAAGGAAATTTTAAAAATTTTGTTTTCAAAGCAATTTATCAATTAGTTAATATGATAAAAAAAAACTACCGTCGTATTAGTTTAAAAAAAAGACCATCTCGTGTTTCAACAATATTCACACACCAAATAAATAAATTTACCCATTATGATAGATAACGTCCCTAGTTTGCCTTTTTTTGTTGTCTTATCTATATCGAGATACTGATATCATCTTACTTAAAGACATCTCGTTTTTGCTAGAAATATTCTACTGAATATACATACCAAACTAATATTTTTGTTGATGATTTCTTCATTATGAAGATTCAGATTTAAAACATTAAGATAGATACATCTTGTATGAGTAGTTTCTCATTTTATTTCCTATTAGCTATATTCTAATGTCAATGAACTAACTGAAAAAGAGTTGAAGAAACTGAAAAAAACACAGAAAACGTCAAGCACAAAAATGAAATATCGAACAACAATACAGTAGAATTTAAAATACGTAATAGCCCACAATTAGTCGAACAATATCGAAATTTTCAAGTATATAATTTCAAGAAAATAAAGTCACTGATATGCATTGATATTGATTTCATACCATTTCGATCGAGACAATTTACTCATATTTATAAGAACATAATTGTCAAACAATATGTCAAATGATAACAACTTCTACTAATGGGAAAAAAAATCAGCTGGGACTTTAGATTTAACAAAAGGCTTCCATCCAATTTCAGGTCCGCTTAAAGAAATTCATTGAAATCTTTTCAGTCGATTCAAGTTTATACAAAACAATATAATGACCTTATATAAAGACTTTATATTATTAACCATAAACCCTTTAGTGATCATATTATAGAGGTCAATCAGTTGCACGGCAAAAAAGGATGTATTTCACATTTGTATAACAATTCGTTCGCTGCGCCATCTATACTTTCTTTTTTAACAAGACCATTCTCAAAAACAAACGCTATTTTTCGTTCTTTTCTCTTGAATTTAAAATCCATTGTTACGATTTTTCTTGCCAACTAATCATAAAAAACGGTGTTTTATTTCAGTTTTTTCGTATCTTCTTTCCTATTCTGTTTCTATATGGTTGTGAAGAGTGCAAGTGTCGATCAGAGATAAGAAAATATATTACAAAATGCCAGCGGAGACCATAGGAGTGTTTGACATATATCACGACTCTTTTCTTAATCTGGTGTCCACTACAGGTACTCTTCATCGTCTATATACTGGTTTGACATGGGCAGAAGGTCCTGCATATTTTCCTGCTTTACGTACACTCGTCTTTTCTGATGTGGCAGAAAATCAACTACTACGCTATGATGAATGTAATAGACAAACAAGTGTTTTTCGTTCTCCTTCTTATCATGCTAATGGTAATACAGTTGATCGGCAAGGCCGTTTAATAACATGTGAACAACAGACAAGACGTGTAACAAGAACGGAACACGATGGTACAATAACCGTACTGATCGATCGCGACGAAAATAATAAACGTTTCAATAGTCCCAATGATGTTGTTGTTAAATCGGATGGATCGATCTGGTTTACCGATCCTACATATGGTATTGATTCGGATTATGAAGGTGATCGAGGAGAAAGTGAAGTTGGAGGAAATTTTGTTTATTGCTTGAAGAATGGTAAGTTACATGTGGTAGCACGAGATTTTGTA